AAAAAAAAAAACAAAAAAAAAAAAAACATAAAAATTTAATAAAAAAGAGTCAATCAAAATTTCCAACAAATTGCTGGACTTAAACTTCAGTATGGATATGATCATTCCCCAAAGTTTTAGTTATCTCAGTTGCTTTTCATAAAAATTATTGACTTTTTTAAAATATGCTGATCAGCAGGAAGTGTGGAGTTGATTGGGCTCTGCATTCCCCAGACTTGAATCCCCCCCCCCCCCATTTTTTTTTTGTGGGGATATTTCAAGGATAAAGTGTACCAGAACAGCTTCAAACAATTGGTGAACTGAACACAGCAACCAGAGCAAAAATCAGGGAAATCCTGAAGGAGGAATGAGTTCGGGTAAGCAACAATTTTGGGCAATGTATGCAAGTGTGCCTCCAATGCCGTGGAGGCCATTTTGTGCATATCTTTAAAAAGACCATTACTTTTATGAAAAGCGACCAAGGTAACTGAAACTTTTGGGAATGATCATGCACATTCTGAAGTTTAAGTATTCAGTAGAATAAACATGAGTTCAGTAGAATAAACATATGGGATGTACTTATGTACCTATTTTGGCAATGTACATCTTTTGACAAGACATGTTCTCTGAAAGAGCTTCTTTGGAACAAATGCAGATCCGTAGTACCACTGCCAAGATGCTTTTCTCTTGACAAAATTATCTTACTTCTGCTGAAGATTCTTATTAGAATGACCTTTCATTGGTTCCTGTTTTGTTTCCTGAAACTTAAGGTTAAAAGGTATTAGTTACACCTTTGTGACTTTTCCAAACACAAAACAATTAGAGAATTGACTTCCTGGAGGTTGTTTCATTGATACGATATGTAGTGGATGTCGAAAGTGTCAAGAACCATCATAAGTAAGGTTTTGTGCAGCTGATCTTTTTAAATTATTATTATTATTATGACTTAACTTTCTAGAAATTAGAAAATGCATGGACACCTTACAAAACAATTTTTCTCATTCCCTTGGTAAAGTGACAGACCGAAGGATGTTAATTTTTTATTTACTCCCAAACAGATGCATAACCATGAAGCAGTGGGTATGTATAGTTATAAACAAGGAAGTTTGTGCCCCAAAATTTTGTATTGCTACTTGTTTTATCACGTGTAGTTATGTAAATATTAAATTCAGTTGCTCCAAGAGTTCTTAACATGTGCTAAAAGTAATAATTATAATAATGTAACAAATTATCATTGTTTATGTGAAAACTAGCTTTAAATTAAATTAAATTTATATTAATAGGTAACACAGAAAGTTATATTTTCACAGGTAAAATACATTTAAATACTATACATATATACTATATATATTGTAATTTTTTTTATTTTAGATTGCAATATTTGTTGAAGAACAAAAGAACATGTCTTTATGGGAAGTGAGCTTATCGACACAGTAACTTATTTTGTGGTAGAAACCTAGCAAGTTATAGGTCTAAATATACAAAAAAAG